GTAATTCTGTTTTATGAAATTTTGTCTATTTATCACACTACTAAATCAAAGTGGAACCACTATGAGGAAAAGATGTTGCTTTTTTATTTCACATGCCTGGGACTTAACCTGGTGTTTTTGTGCAATAAGTGCTCAATAAATGTTTGTAATGAATGATTGTGAAGAATATATCATTTACAACCTATTATACTTAAAGGGACTTGAAAACAATTTTTAAAAAAATTAAATTTTAATATTATTTTTAAGTGACAAAAAAGTAAAAACCTAACACAGTATTTTACATAAATCTACTTGTTTCTCTACGTTTCCAATATTACCTCAGTATCTTAATTTTGGTAGGTTAGCTTCCAAATGGAGTATTCACCAACTTGTGAAGAATTTTACTTCAGAAAACTATGAGACATTTCAAATGGATTGAGTTTCAATTGTTTAATGGAAAACAGAGGGAAATAGAATTTAGCAATTTTATGCCCAGGCTCAGGATTTGAACATGACCAGGACAAACAAGGGAAGCTCTTTGCCCCCCAAATAACCTTTTTAACAGGCATTAAGCCACCCCTCAAACTGAATTTATCATCTCAGGAACATCATAGCATGGAAGTGACATGTGAATAAATTTAAAATCATATGTGAGGCCATGTCGCAAAAGGAATCCTTCTTTCTCCTCAGAAGTTGTTTTCCAATTGCAAAACTGGCAAACTGGCAAAAGCTTTACCTTTTTTTGTGTTTACAAGCAACGGCATGCAAACATGTGTGTAATGTGTGTGTGTTTTACCTCCATGTATACATGTGGAATTAATGTAAAACAAAAAGCAATGCTCTAAAATTTTCTTGAAATTTAATTAAATTCAGGAACACATGGTAAATGAGGGATCAAAAATGTAGTATTAAAAATTTATTCTTTAATCAATGAAGGCTATAATGAGAAAGGTTTGAAGAAAAAATTGTTTTTGTGTACTAAAAAGATGTTTTCCTTTGTATTTTCTATGCCACTAAATCCTATGACTTTAAACTTTATATCAGACTAAGAAGTGTCCAGTAGTCAATTTTCAAAATTTAGATTTTATGTTTGAAATGGGAACACAAACAAAAAATGTCAACATAATAATGACTATCTTTAAAGGAAAGAAAAAGAGAGGAAAAAATACAATAAAGGACTTCCTTAAACATTTAACTGGAAAACTGTGGAGATGAAAAATATTGGTGAAAGACTGGTCAATTAAACAACTTAAATCTATAAAATAGTATATATAAGAGAAAAAACACCACAGATTAAATTCTAATAAGAAAGTTATCAGTGTCCAATGTCATTACTGATAAAAAGAAGAAGCTTAAAGGGCAATAACAATATATTGTGCATATCAAGAAGTTTTATTTATATCCATCCTAGGATAATTAGCTCATAGTTTGCTGAGGGCATGTCAATTTTTTTGTAACCCCCTGAAAAAAACCACTTAAAGATTAATGGGAAAGAAAACAGTAAAAGGAGTTTGAGCCCTGCAGAAAATGCCCTATGGGATACTTAATACCTTTAAAAGGTAAAGATAACACACATTCTAAAATTACCAAGAATTCTAACATGGTATAATTCTTTGTCGTTTTTCATATAGGACTTTTTCCCTTCAAGATTGTTACTGTCTATATTATGTGTCCATGTAGGAAAATTCCAAAAGATTTCTGCATAATCAACTTAAGCCTAAAAAGATTAGAAAGTTTCTATATTTGATTTTTTTTTATCCTTGAGTGTATTTTAGAATTTAAAAAGATGATTTTTTTTTCTATGAAATAGATTAGTCTCAAAATAATCAGTGTGTTTTAAACTGTGTTTATATTTTCTTCGGTCTGAATTAAAATGTAAATTGTCAGTGAATATAGATCATCAAGATATATATTCTCCTGGGTCCAAATGATAATAAATTATTAATAAATATTAAATGAAAATGATATTAATATTTTCACAATAAATCAAAATAAAATTATTTTATTTATATCACCACTGAGAAGTAAAAGTATTTCCCATTAAAAGATAGATTACCTAGGAGCAAATATCTGGTTTACAATATCACATCAAAGAGATTAAAAAGTGATAAAAGAGAGTAAGTTTAAAGTGAGAAGGTAGTAGAAATTCATTATATTTGTGTGTGTATTTATCAATCATATTTTAGCATAGAGAAGAGAAAGAAATACACATAATTCAATGTCATTACTCCATACCCAGGACAAGTTTTTTTTCAATAACTTGCTAGTATGCAAATATAGTGTCCTAAATTTGTGTTAGGTTTTGGTCACATTTCTTCATTTAGTTTTTCTTTTATTTGGCAAATCTTTAGGACCATCTAGGTACTACAGGGTGGATAAGATTTTCTTTGTCCAGACAAAAACTGTGATTGTGACATTATTTGCCTTAAGTGAGACAGGAAAAGACTTTCAAGAATTGTATAATTTAACTTTTGAGTAAGTATATTTATACAGCACAAACATAAAATAATTTGTTCATGAAGAGTGAAATACCATGGCCAAAGATATCACAACCCCCCCCCTGCTTAAATTCAATAATGTACATTCAACAAAATAAAGAAATGAAAATTTCATGCAAAAATTTGCTTATAAAAAATATAAGCCTCGGATTGCTTTTTGGTGAAATCTGTTCTTCTTTTATCCGCATATTTCTAGTCTCAATGTACTAGGCTAAGTGTTTTATAAAATTAAATTGGATTAAAAAATAATTTTAATATGAATGAACAATGCACTAATAGGTAAAGAGTTGCTATTTTTTAAAGTAATATACTTTTACAAGACAATACACACGAAAATTTCTTATCAACACTTGGATTTAGTTATGTTGAAAATTAAGCTATGTCTCTTGGGTGTAAATGTGATTCCAGTACAAATGAGAAATTATACTAAGATTTATTTGTTCTTGTACAGCAATTTCAGGTATAGATGGAATTCAAGTGTGTATATGATTGTGTGATTCTGTGTGTGTGTGTGTGTGTGTGTGCTAAAACTATATTATTCTTTGGTTGCCAGATAGAAGGCAATTGATTGTTGTTTCATACATTTAATTGAATGCTACAGATATCTATCACATATGGGTAAGAAAGAAATGATAGCCAAATGTCATCAGCAAATTCACAATAAAAATACTCAACTTAAATGAATACATTGTGCTAAGCCTACAGTAAAATATTTCCTATACTTGATGTGTGTATTTTAATAAATTCTCACACACATAAATTTATTAGATTCTAGACCTTGGTTCTTTCCTTCAATTTTATTCATTTCTCCGAAGTGTGGACACAGCAAATACAGTATTTTCTTATGGTCCACATGCCCCTAAATATAACTAATTCTTACTGGACTTATTAGAAAGGAAGAAGCTAACTCATATCTCAGTCGGAAGTAAAGAAATAGTGCTAAAAACAACTCGGCAAGTGTATCATAGTTATCTGCCCTTTTAGGGTAGAAAAGACACATTATCATATGGTACTCTTCTTAGTGGTTACAATTCACTAAACCTGATTATCTTATTAAGTCAAAATCTGAGTAAAGTTTTTATGACAAGACTGGTGAAATCAGCTTATTTTCCAGAACACAGGGGCATAGGTTGGACATTCTCTCCAAGTGACTTTAGAAAGAAGAAATCTGTGGGTCATTAGATAACCAGCCCCCTGATTGGGTTGTACTTAATTGTCCTCAGCAGAACACAAATTGCCTCCCAGGTAGAAATTATTGTAACATTAAAAGTAAGCAAAGGATTACTACATATATTCCTAAGAAAATTTTGAGCACTCTTAGATGAACAAGAACTAGAAGAAATGGAATTTTCAGATACAAAGAGAAAGGATGTTTAAAGGGAATAGCACAATTTTATGAAAACAAACTGCTACCTCTGTAATTCACATATCATGAGCACAATTTGCAGTATATTGAAAAGTGCCTAATTCTGTATATGTATGAGCTGAATAGGTACTGAAGAGCCAGCAGTAGATGAGTAGAACAGTAACAAAATCAATATGAATACTGATTTCCTGACTCTTTTTGGAACTTCCAGTATGTTTTCACATTTTTGTCAGGTTTAAATATTTCCATTAAGACTTTCATCAATTTTTTTATGATAGTCTAATATCAAAATAAGTTTTCAAATGGACAGCTCTCATTACTGACTATCCTTCTCACAAAGACCTGGATAAAATATATGAAAATATGGTTGCTGTAGGAATAGAGCATACTCATTCTTTCATTTTTTAAAAATTTAATTCAATTTAGATTTTAGAGAGGTGGATTATGCTCAGCTCAATATCAGAAAACACCTTCTGCAAAAGCTCTTGTTGGGGGCTCTACTTGTTTTATTTTTGTCTAAAATGAAAAATGTAGATATCAAATACATATTTCATGTATCTATTGCTGTAACATTCAATAAAATTCACTTTAAGTTAATGTACACCATGATTGATGTATTCACGTTCAAATCATTCTGATGCTGAAAATAAAATCAGTCACTGAAAAGCTTTGGTTATTTCCCAAAATGCTTGTTTGCCAATATGTCTGCTTTGTATCCATCACCCTGTTAGAGTAGAATGCTTGCTAAATAGAATTATCAGTCCTATTCTTCAGAAGTCTACTTGGCACAGACATAGCCTTTCCCAAATACTAATTAAAATTGAAGCAAGCAATCATATATACTTTTGGGAGGAAAAAAAAAGTCCAGATTAGGAAAAAACACTATATCAGAAGAAGAGATGTAGTTATATTAGCAACAGAATATACAATAACAAGTCTTTCCTGCAGGAGCATGCCTAAAAAGAGAAATTGTTGCTTAAAACTTAGCACTAACATGGACAAGTTAAGCTCAAGAAATACATTAAACATCAGTGGGGTTATTTACTGATATATTGCTTGCCTGATTTGTTTTTGGATGTGCTTAACAGCCAAATGGTCAGATCAAGGTAAGAAAGAGATCAGCTGGAAAAGTTCAGAATCACAGCTTCCTCTCTTACCTTCCACTGAGGAGGAAGCCGATAACCACTGCCAACAAAATGACTCCCACTGTCACAGACACAGCAATTATAGGAATCTGGCTTTGATCACTGGATGCTGCAACTGCTGATAGGAGACACAGAGAATGGAGCTTGTGGTTAAAGTGATCATATTCATTCAAAAGAAGAGCTGCTTAATAGTTGATAATCAATTCATGGTTTAAAGCAATTCACCCACACTTGGCTGAGATTTCCCTCTAATATTTCTTCTCAAAAGTGTGTAATTGAAAAGGCATCTTTAGAAGAAAATATTTACTCTCCAAATGGAAATTCGAAAGCATCACTAAGTCACTGATTATTTCCTTGTCATCATAAAAAAATGAATGTATGTTATTTGCATAGTATTCATCTAGGGGCCTTAGGTTTATAAGATGAAATGGAACTTCCTCCTTGACTTTTAAACACCTTAATCTAAACCCGATAGGTATATGAGCTCTAACAGTAGAGTCTGCATATTACTGTTCCCCATAGACATAGATTCAAATCCAAAATAATGTGACTATAACCTGACAAAAGTTAAATATAACATCATTATTCTAAATATAATTTTAAAAATATAATTTCAAGCAAATTATAATCAGTAAGTATATTTTATAAGTAGGATCACTTTTTGAAAAATGTCAAGGCATACATTTTAAACTTTGAGAAACTTTAGGATTAGGATTAGATGCACTTACATAACCTTTTCTATAAATATGTGGATTAAGATTTTGAAATATTTTATATTTTAACAAACAATTACTAAAATAAGAAGAATATGGAAATGATTATGTAGTTGTGCCTAAATAAGCAGAGGAATCTTTCTTTTGTGGTAATAACTAATCCCTATTAAAATTAGAAACACGAAGAGCAAAATAAATTTTACTGATGTTCTGAAACATTCCTCAATAGGCTACCTAGAGTGCTTCTTGTTTAATGGCATGATTATTTTGATAATTTCCAAGTAGCACTAGTTCATCTCCATGGTATCTAATTTTAAGTCACCAAAACTAGTACCAACCATACTTTCCACATTTGTTTTTTAGTCCCTTACCAGATCTTGGCCCACCAATAGTTTTGGGTCTCCAATCACTTTTGTTTCTTTTCTGGTTGCCTTGCCCTTGGTGACTCTCTGACCACCTTTTTGCACTGATCTGCACTATCAATCATTTCAGACTAGAGTTCAGATCCTAATATTCTCTCTTTTGGGGTAATAATAGTTATAATTCAATGCCTCATTACCCTGTTTTCTCCTATTCTCTGATGCTGAGGTCTGTGGTAAGGAATTTAGTTATTGGCATGCGGTATAAATGAGGTAGACAAAACTAACACACTATCACTAGTAGCCTTCCCCAAGATATGCTTTATTAATCTCTAAACTAAGATTACTACTACCATTGTTGTTGTTGTTGTTGTTGTTGTTGTTTTGTGTTTTTTTGTTTCGTTTTGCAGGAGACACTGTTTCTAAAGAAAACCATGCAACCCTGCAGACATGGACTGTGTAAATTCAATGTTATTTTGAGTGGGCTGCAACTGCTGCTTGAATGCCTTTGATTTTCTCTTATCATTTTCCTAACAAAATAATCCTTGAAATGGATTGGGGAATGATTGGTCATGTAAGGGTCATAAAGAATAATTATGATTCATAATAATGAATATGCTAATAAAAAATGAGTCCTCTTTATTTTCTCAGTACACTAATGCATTTTTCACTTCTCAGGTTTTAGGAATGCTAAATTTTATAGATAAAAGAGTGATCAAATCTGAACTTGATTAAATATAACTACATAACTTCGATTGCTTTACCTAACTCCATTGTTAAAGCCTCTCCTGTCTCTTCCAAGACCTTGCTCCTTTGAAGTTCTTCCTCCAGGAAGGATTTCTGTTTCATTATAGACTACTTTCCTGCAACTTATAAGCCTGAACAGATATCTCCTTTTGGAAGAAATACATCCTTACACCTAAACTTACTGTTATTAGTTCAATCTGAATTTGAAAACAGATCCAATATTTAGAACACATATGGGCAAAAAAAAAAGCTATTTAACATTTCCTTTATCTCCAATTAGGGATAATTTCTCTGGATAATTATATTTCTGTTAAAATTATGGATAATACATACAAAGCACTTAGCATAGTGCTTCAATTACTGACAGCCTTAAATAAATAGTGGATATTATTTCTGTTTATTATCTCCTGATTTATTACCATTCTTATTATTTCCTATTTGCCAGTATCTTGACTAAGTGATCTAGGACCAGCCTCATCTTCTGAGAACCAACATTATTAAAGTTTCTCTGAAACTTTTCTTTTCTTCTCTGCCTTTGAGTTCTATGCATGATATATTTGCTAAATGCAGTAAGTACTTCTCCACCTACCTTATCCAGTACTACAATGAAGAATTTGATCTTTTTGAACATATACCTCATCCTTGAAACTATTTTCTTCTCGGTTTCTTTGGTATCAGACAAGCTGATTTCGTTCTGTCCCTCTCTGAAGCACTGTTTTATCAGTTGTGTTGGTTGCACATTCTTTCCCACTTCTTCCCTGTGAGTGATTCTTGGTGGATGCTCCCTCCTGATCCTCCTCGTTTTTCTACTTCTGCCTTTCTCTCTTCTTCTCTCCCATTTGCCCTCCCTCTCATGGATATTTCTTTGCCCATGGAATCAGTTAACAAGTACCAACTGAAGGGTCACAAATTTTTATCTCCAACACTTATTTTTCTCCAAAGCATCACTCTACTTTTTAAAACAGCCTATTTTCCACTTTTATTTGGATGTTATTGTGATATAAAAGCAAACATGTTTAAAATTGATCCTTATACCACTCCACCCCCAAGGACATTAACAAAAACACATCAACAAATAAACATACCATAACTCAGACTAACAAACCAAACTTATTAAATCTCTTTCTGTTTTCTTTTAATGATCACTGAATTTTTCTTAACCTATATTTTGCCCATAATTTACCAAACTTTTTGTATTTCTTTTATGTTTTTTCTTTATGCATCTGCCTTTTCATTCAATATTCACCTATTTGATTCAAATGAGTATAATCAAAATGCTGAAACATAGTTCATAGTGTTTCAAGTGTACCCTTGTTTTCTATGTATTCATATTAAATATCCAAAAATATTATTTGATCATATTTCAATGTAATAACTTAACAGTTATGATCCACTACTTCCTACGGAAGAAAATATTCAAATCTCGGTCTAGCATTCAAAAGCACTTCTAATTTGACTCTAACAAATCTTTCTGGTGTCAGTGTGTTGGTTTGGGAACTTTCACAGATAAGGTATTGCAGGAAGGTGGCAAGATTATTCAGAGGTAGGGGTAAAATCAGGGCAACTTCAGGCTGATTATTAAATGTGAGAAAAAATATGGGTTCTTGGTTGTGTAAAATGCTTCATATTTAATAATTTCCAAGACCTAACTTAATAATGTACTAAAATAATGCACCCATGTATGGGATAATATTTTGCATTAAAATAATTGTTAATAGTATACCAACAGATTTCAAATATTTAAATTAATACATTTTGGAAAAATATTTTATAAGTAATATTTATGTGTTTTTATCTGAAGCCCACTTGCATTATATCTTTTTGCATAATAGGCTGTGAGAATGAATTTAAAATGCATTTTCATTTGTTATCATTTCTAAAATTTGCAACATTTCCTAAGTTCCCATCATAGGTTTTAATTATTGACTATTTAATGTGCACTGATTAATTCGTGAGATGAGCTACTTCTAATAGGAAATAATTCATCAAGATTTGTCTTGTTTATTCCTTGTCCTGATATCATAAAATATACTATTAATTATATTAACTATGATGAAAATATAGAATTTATATGGTACTGTCAATTCCTTTATACTTGGTAATTCTTTAGCATTGAAAAAAATTCTTAGACCCAGTATGAGCCATGATTAATATTTGAAATTATTGTTAAATTTGCAATCCTTGATGATGCTCTAGTCACTCATCTTTTCCATTTTTTTATGTATGTTTACTAGAAATCAGTTGATTGATAATATAGTTTTGAAAGAATAGCTAAAGAATGTTTGGAAAACACTTAAAAGCAAATTTTGAAACAATGTAACACACTATAAATCACTGTCATTGTAATTTTCTTCATATCACAATATAACAAAATTGTAACAATTATAAACATTAATATTATTTAATAAATAAAAATGTTTCTTTAAAAATATATACATTTCCATTATCTCTGTGATCTTTAAGGTAACATATCTTGAGAAATCACATTTGTTACCTTACCTTGCTTCCCACAGTCCTGGTTGTAAACCCATATGACATGGATATTCTCTAGATTTTATTGCCTTAGCTACATATTTGAACAGTCATTCAGGACAAAAATATTTGTTAGAGCCAGATTATAAGGTCTTTTGAAGGCCAGGCTGAAAACTTGGAATCTTTCTCTCACATGATAAGTATCTATAAACGTTCTTTATTAGGAAAACCTTATCAAAGTTTATAAAATATAAAATTTTCAATAAATAGTATGGGTATACTGGAGTCAGGAAAATTTAAAACAGCATGGCAGGCAAATAAGCACATGAAAAGATGTTAAACATCTCTTACTACAGGGAAATACAAACTAAAACCACCATGAGATATCACTACTGTATCCCAAATGACTAACAAATAAATAAATAGTGACAACACCGAATTCTGATGAGGATGTGGAGAAACTGACTCATACGTTGTTGACGAGAATGTAAAATGATACAGCCACTCTGGAAAACTGTTTGCCAGTTTTGCCACATTACACATTAAATTATCATATAACCCAGTGATTGTACTTTTGGGAATGTATCCCAAGAAAATGAAAACTTATGTTGACACACAAATATGTACATAAATGTTAAATAGCATCTTTATTTGTAATAGCAAAAACTGGAATCAGCCCAGATATTCTTCAGTAGATGAATGATTAAACAAACTGTGAGACACACATCCCATGGAATACTAATCAGTTAAAAAATAAACAAATTTGATACACACAGCAACCTGGATGAATCTCCAGGGAACTATGCTGAGTGAAAAAAAAAAAAAATCCCAAACTAAATGGTCACATACCGCATGATTCCAAAACATTTTTGGAATGTTAAAATGTTAGAAATGAAGGACAGATTAATGGTTTCTGGCAATTAGTGATAGCATGGGAGTATTTCCTGAAGGCAGGGGGTTGTGGGCATAAAAGGGCAACACAGGGGATCTTTATCATGTTGGCACTGTTTGGCATCTTGACTGTTGTGGTAGATGCAGTACCTAAACAACTGACTTAATTGTATAGAACATAATACACACAAATTTCTACACACACCTATACAAAGGAATACAAGGAATGTGATTAAGAGCTGTGGATTGTATCAGTGTCAATATACTGATTGTAATCTTATGCTATAGTTTTGCAAAATGTTACCATTAGGGGATACTAAGCACTGGAATTTTATACACAATAAAATTAAAATAAAGAGGATAAGTCAGTTGTAAAGCATTAAATAAAGCTTGGGAGAGAAAGCATGGTTGGAGATTTTCCACCCAAATCTTCACATTAAATAGTCTTCCTAGAATGAACAAGTTTGCATACCTATTATTCCTTCCATCTATATTTGGTTTTAGGGCTATGTTTTGACCTACAAGATAATGTAGATGAAAAAGAAAAGCACTTCATAACAATTTCACTTCCTTGTATACAAGTGACTGAAGTATAGTATAAATAAATAAATAATATTTTTTAAAAAAATTAAGCAAATCAATAACAAAGTATGCCAATGTGTCATTATTATGTATCATTGTTATGAACTGAATAACCAATTAGACAATACTTTTTTAAAAGTACACTCAAGGTAATTTTAAAAATATTTTTCTGTCCTTACATATCTAAATGACAAAACAGACTTTTCTTAGTAATACTGACTCATTTAAGCCAGTATTAACTGTCATCCACCAGATGAAAATTACTGGTAACTTTTTAAGTGTCACAATACAAAGATACCATAATTCCTGCATTCAAGTATTTGGAAACCTTGTTGAGGAAATAATACATATAAGTGAAGAATCAAATTTTGATAAAAGTAAATAATTGCCCAATAAATTAATTAAAGTAATTTCACAAAAGACTGCCTAAATAATTGTCAAATGAAAGCATATAACACAATATTACAGAAGTTGCAAGAAGTAAGTATTATTTTAGTTGTCATTGTGTATCTTCTTTGACTCCCTATTAATCTATAAGCCCTGAGAAGGAAGTGACTTTGTCTTAGCAATTATTTGAGTTACTCACAGTACGTAGAGTAAAAAATCTTTTGATGTGTAGGGAGTAAATAAAATGAATTTTTAAATAATAAACAAAACTACTTTCCTAAAATGGTTTTGAAACACATATTCCATTTTTCAGAATTAAATATACTGTACTATTATTCTCTGAAGAGTAGTTTCTATTAAATAGAAATTATTAATCATTTTTCAAAATGGTACCTTTCTCTGTGTAAAATCCAGTGGATTAACTCTTAGAAAGCTTTTTTTTAAGTAATACAAATTATTTTCCAGGTAATGCAGTTAGACATGCTTTAAGCAGAAGTGCATCTTGATTTTCTATAGGGCCATATTATAGCGGTTTATTCAAATTTTAACTTAATAATTCTACTAATCGTTACAAAGTAAACCTAGTAACTAACTCTCATTTTGTTAATTTCCAAAAAAAAAAGAAAACATGCATTTTATTTTCTTCATTTTAAAATTACTAGTTCTATAAACTGGCTTTAGAAATCATACATATATATACACACACACACACATACACACCTTCCTCATACAAAAGTTTAATAGTGTTGGTTCTTTCATCTATAAACAAGGCAATTTATTGTCTTCTATTTCTGTTTTAATGTGTTTGCATTAGGACAAGTAATTAATATAAATATTTTGTCAAAATTAAAGGAAAATGCTTTATGCTATTTTATGAGAAAAAATGATATGAAAAGGGTGTTCAAGAAATGTTTCCAGGTTTTCCATTCTAAGATACTAGAGATTTAAATTTTTTAAGAGATTAAGCTGGTTTCTGAGAGTACCATTTTTTTTCTGAATTCAATGTTAATGAAAGCTCCCTGTGGAATTTTCATAGGAAGACTAAGACTAGTAGCATAGTTCAATAAAACAAGTAAAAAGTAAATGGCAATAATTCAATAAAGTATAGCAGCAGTGGAAAGAAAGTCTTTAAAAGCAAGTCTACACATTTCTTAAGGATCTCCTGATATAGTACCTCCCAGTAGACTAAATGCAATGAGGAGCAGGGACCAATGTTAACCCGCAGACCCACCATAATAGCATGACAGATGCTTCCTACCTGAAGGGGTCATGCGTGGGAGAGGGAAAAGGAGAGGAAGACTGACAGAGTGCCCAGTGAGGGTATTGATCCACTGACTCTTTTCTGGTAACCATTACAGAGACATGAGTTGACAGTAATTAAAATGACTTACACACTGGGACGGTTTCAAACTCAAATCTTCGACTGAAGACACCATAGCCTGCTGCTGTACGTGCTCGAATTTGGAAGACATATACTGAAGCTGGTTTCAAGCCCTCTGCAGTAATAGTTGTCTCTTTAGATTTGATAATTGTGTAGCTGGTCTCTTGGTCCTTGGGTTGCATGTGTACATATAATTAAAAATAAAAAAGCCAACACATGAGTTACAAATGATAGAACAACTTAAAATCATAGATCAGAAAATGAACCAGAAAACCAACAGACTCTCTATTAGTACAAATATAATGTTTTACAAAAAAAAAATTCCTACACACCCTAGGTGTGCTATATTTATACAGAATCTTAAAGTGTTTTCTAGGGCTCAGAGTGGTGTGTGACATTCTTTCTAACCATCCACCATACTTGTCTTTGGCAAAAATAAAAATGTAAGAGTTTTGAAATACAATTTTGCAGGAGATAGTTTACAGATTATTTTAGTATTGTTATTTGTGTACTTGTTTTCCTTGGAAATATTTTCTTGGAGCATATCTTACATGCTGCCTTTTCATGAAGAATGTTGACAATTTCTCACACACTGCAAGGTTAGAGTTATGCTTTAATTAGGATCAATCAGAATTCTAATTGTATTTAGGGCTTGGGAGAAGAAGTAATTATTTCACTGGAGTACTTTAATTTCAATTCACTTAGTCTAAACAGAAAGCATCAAAGAAAAAGAGCAAATAATTAAAACTTTTTTTTTCTTTTTTAAAAAGTTTCCTATTTTAAAGGAGGGGGAGCTAGGTAAGTAGTGAATGAAGATGGAGTATGAAAAATATTGGAGGGATGGTTTTGGAAACTGAAACAACCAAACAAACAAAAAAAAGTTTCTATTTTGATTGCTAACAAATGTTTAGACTAACCATCCATAATTCCTCATCATCTGTCCAAAGTTACCTCACTGAATTTAGTCTGGACACTGAAACCAAATGCTAAAATACAATGGGTCCAGTTTTGTTTTAACCCTCAGTTTCCTTCTCTGCAAAACTGGGGAAGAAACTGTTGCCTGGGTTTCTTCAAAGAGATGCTGCAAGAATGAAACTGGCAATATGTGTGAAAACACTATTTAGTTTATTAAAACTAAAATATATGTTTTAATTTTTATAGTTATTATTTTAATTTTTTTTCTCAACTCTTTTAATTCAACACATCAAAGTTGACTTCTAACCACTTTCTGTATCACCACCAATAGTAGGTAAAATATACAACCTATAAACATTCTTCTTTTAAAGCAATTTTTCACTTCTCATTTAATATGTTTAGACAAATAAAATTATCTTAGAGTTAAGTATATCCAAATTTCTCTCTGAATAAGTATGGTTTAATTTCTAATTCAAGTAGTTTTCAAATGATTGATCCTTAGTTTTTTAATGCACAGATTAATTTAACTGCCTAAACTTTCAAGTGTTTAGGAAATTTTATTAGAGTTTTACAAACAATTCAAAGTAGGTAATTAAATCCTATAAACCTTTACCTAGTAATACCAGTCAATTTCTTCATTCACAAACATTTATTGATCTTCTACTATCTACTCTACTATCTACTCTATTACCCCTTCTATATGCTAAGAGTATGGCAGTAAGAAGGAGACAATTTCTTGATGTGTTCCTTTTAATAATTTTAAATAGCTTCTATAAACTATTGTAGTTACTGATTGATCTGAGCATGCTCTGGTTTAAGTCTGAATAAACCTGATAATATTATTATTTCTCAGTACTATTGAGAATAAATAATATTACTTCTCAATAATGTTCTACTTTCCCGTTTGGCTATGATTGCAGCAGTAACTTTCAGTAACAAATGATTAAATGTCTGTTTGCTGTATTACTTTTACTTGTTTAAAGGGAATGTAACTTGGTGAAAAATTGTAGTCAAAACTAAAGTATGAGATTCCGATATAATTATGATTTTTACATAAAATATTAACATAATTTATGGTGTAAAATAAACCTTTTTTAAAAAAAAAGAACATGGAAATAACAGTATTAGAATTCCAGCAATGTCATTAACTAAGTAGATGTGTAAACGTGGGTACATAACTCTGAAATTCAGATTATTCTTCTTTAAAATGAGAACAAAATTATTTATCAAGAGTATTGAGAGGAGATAGAGATTTATATAATATGCATACCACCAAGTACAAGCTGTACAATATAATAGGCCCTCGGTAAATTTATTTACTGTTAACTCTACAGCATGATGGTAAATTCTTCCATTGAAAAGTAAAAACAAAATTTTTAAAAGCTTACATGGTTGCAAATCCTAACTATTGAAGGTACAATGAATACATTTTGTAAAAATATTAGAAATTAATACTTTTTCCAAAAAGGTAAAAAGCATTAAAATAAAACTGAAATGCTGCTTCTTGAAATAATATATGATGCAATATCAATTGCATAACATCACACAACATTGTTTCTGATTTGAAGATTAATATTATCTATGCCTCAGTTGTTTGTTATTTAGGGTCTAATTGTACACTATCTCTCTGAGTTGGCCAAATACTATATTATTGAAGAGAATTTAGCAAAGCATATGTCTAAGGGATCAGAGCAAATTAATACATATACACTGCAAATGATGTAAGTATCTTCCAAAATTTACTTCTGTTCCACTCCTTTAAATCACTCTTATATTGTAATTTTCTTAATATTACAAACCCTACATACAAATCTTCAACACCCACAATCACCTGGCTGCCAGTCCTTACTCAGGGCAGTGGCTTTTGCTGCCTTCATGCCCCAGCTGAGCAAATGAGCTACATTCCCAAGCTGCTTAGCAAACACTGTTCACATGCAGTGAGGGGAGGGCCTCAGCAGAAGGAGCCAGCTGGCAAACACTGTGCCAAGGAGCAGCTTCCCTTTGCTTCTGCCTTTAATTAAGAGATGGCAATGAGCCCATCACCAGGCAGGAGCAGAGAAGCCCAATGACCTCTATTAAAGCAGGGCAATCGCAGGCAGAAATGCCAGCTGGCAAATGCATGTGCCCTGGAAAGCTCTGCCACCTGTGTCTGGCCAAAAGCCATCCAATAAAATGGTGGTGTCATTCTGAAGGTTCAAAATGAGCTTTGGAAACCTATCAAGACTCCCACCTCAATACATATTATTAAAGCTCATTATTTTTTTCCTGAAAGTCTTGGGAAAAAAAAATGTATGTGTGTTATATTGGTACACTCAATAATTTGTCTTGACAAAAAGGTCTGGGAATTAATGTCTTCATTGTAAAAAGGAAAACACTGACCAAAAGGATTTAATAATTTCCACCAAAATAATATACTATATAAAGATTTTGCTGTTTTTAAAGCATGTAAGTAGGCAAGTTGTTATTTATTTATTGAGGATATGCACAGAAATCTTTTTCCCAAATTATTTTTTGTTACTTTGAGTAATGCAGATAATAGAATATGTTAATACAGCTTTAAATAAAAATTATTAAATATAAGGCCAAATTACTAGAAATAATATTAATAGAAGAAAGATTCCCCTACACCACTTGTCGAGTAACTCTTTGTTCTAAAAGCAGCAGCAACTTAAAGAAAAAAAAAGTAGAAGGTGAATCCTGGCTCCTGTTGAATATCGCGTACTTAAAGAGGCTCATGCATATGATGGAGATGGTAGTGAAAACAGTCGAAGGTATTCATAACAGAAAAAAGGAAATAGGATTGTTTCTTTAAGGAGAAAAAAGAAAGCTGGACATGGGTCCAGCTAGTTAATTCAAGGGAAGAAAAACAATGCAGGTAAATAACTACTTGTTAAACTTTTAGTCTTCCTGCTGTTGAAGTTTATTTCATCTAAGATACTCATAACTTAAATACAGAGTTTTTGGTGTTTGGTTGTTTTAAAATTTCCTTAAGCATCTCAACTTCTTTTAAAATCAACTTCAATCACAATGAAAATCTGGAAACAGAATATTTGCAGTAAAACTCAGCATGTGCTTATATATATATATATATATTTATATAATTCTACATAATGCAATTCTGCATTAGTATAGAATTTTAAATATAGGTTTCAAAACTTGAATAGGGAATGTAAACCTTAATTTCACTAATTATTTGTGGATATATCATATATTTAAATTGTAGACCTCTGGAATTTGTGGTGCTGTTTTGATTACTAATCCCAGAGAAACAGGAATTGGTGAGGAATATTAACATCACTATACTTGATTAGTTCCATTTTTGTAGACAATAAACACTGTAAATCCAAGGTATTCTCTTATTGCCTTCTTGGTAAATAATGTATTCAATAAAACATATTTTTTTGTGAAATAGAAGAATAATCATTTATGCTCCCTAATGATCTGATAGTTAGATGTAATACTGCCAGCAAGTCATCCCAGAAAGATGACTATTTCAGAAGTAATAATTGACTATTTATTCATCTCTTAATAAAATCTATATGTTAACATTTTAGAGACATCCCAAACTTAGAAAGAATATGTAGATGACCCTCCCCCAGGGCCCCCCCACTACTGTTTTATTCTTTTTCATCTTTCCACAGGTAATTGCTGAATCAATGAATGAAAGAAGCAAATCCTTAAAAAATCCTTATAATACTATGAAAAATTAACATTCTATATATTTGCCTAAACTCTTATCTATGAATTTGCATAAAATCTTGGATTTTTAAGTAATTTAAATTAATAGGCCATCAGCATTTTTCATGATGATGAAAAGGAGAACTATTTAGTCCCCATTTCTTCTCCAGTGTCCTAGTTTGGGCAGTTTCTTAGGCATCAGAAAGTAAATTCCTGCCATCCTCTTCACTTTTTTCTAAAAAAGAAGGAGTTATGTCTCTGTGAGTTTGGGAGAAGTAATTAAGTGTGTGTGGCTCAGTCCTTCTCTTTTGGGATCTATTTGTCTGCATTAAGTGTGTGTTCTTTTCTACTCCTGCTTCCCTAGGACCGACAGTTCTAGGTCAGGGTCTCCAAGCCATCTTTTAGAGGCTGGTTTGGGCACCCATCTATCATTTTCTCCTCTATCAGAACTCAGCTTGCTTTAAGGAGTGCATGCCATTCTGATGCAGGCTATAGAAAAAACACAGTAGAATGGGCAAGGAGTGGTGGAAAGACTACTGTGTCTACATATCTAAGCCACACACTGCAGTCCAGCTTTAGAAATTGTAAGTTCCTCTTTAGCTTCCACTTGAATGATTCCTTTATCAATAGCTCACTTGGTTGGGGGTCCAAAAATGAGTAAAAGGAATCATTACTTTATATAGATCTCAACAACTATTGTGGTAGGCTAGGTAAGCATGAACCTAAGAGACAATTTAGGAAAGAAGAAGAAATCAGGAAAACATAGGGAGTATGAGGCACACATTTCTGATTTTCTACACTCAAATTATAAAATAAAGTTTGTACTACAGTGTTAGATATTCGTAAATAATCCTTTAAAGTTGTATGTTATACATGGGTCTTATCTACCCATACTTCCTTAGTAGTACAGGTATCATGCCCTGTTACCGGCTAAAAGCACACATGATTTTCCTTGTAGCACACGCAGTCCCTACTGAAGATCAACATCTTAAGTGTTTGCAACTTTCAAAATGTCCTATGACTTCATCTTTTAATGCTGAGAAACCTAGTTAAGCTGATGGTAGACTATACACAGCAGTATCCAGGCATCATAAACCATTTGGCAATAGAAGAACATGAATAGAGTGCTCCCTGTACACTTCTAGCCTCTAAAATCATGGCTGCAGAATCAATTGTCATTGATTTACACGTAAAATTGTAACATACTCTTCCACAAATTGGATAATCGCAGTTGCTAAAAGGAAAAAGAAAAAAAAGAGAGAGAAAGGGCATTTTTTATTTTGTTAGTCTCACCTTTTCAAAATACTTGATTTCATACTCCAGGATGATTCCATTGGGGCGATCTGGCTCTTGCCAAGACAAAGAGATGCTGTTTTTTGCAATCTTCCCCTTTTTCACATTGGTGACTGGAGAGGGGGCTGGAAAATAGTACAAATAAAGCATAGCATGACTAATAGAGCCTCAAAATTACAACCTGTTCTGTGTATTATGTATATTCACATTTTGGACTGTAGTATAATAAAAATAACAAAAGATTAAATTTGCTTTTAACCTGGTAAAAATTTTACTTTCTCTATATGTTTTTGAAAATAAAGTTTTAAATATAAATTAACTAAATATACTGTGAATTTTCTCTTAAGAAAATTGTAGTAACATAGAATATTAAGTCCTTATTTTCTCCACAAGGTTGAGAAATATAGATACATTATTTTAGTATTTTGTAAAATGAAGATGTTCTTGATAACCTTTGTATCTTCTATGACTCTAATACTTATAGATTCTGTATAATATATCCTATTATGCTAACAGATACATGATTATCTATATTACCACATTTTCACAACACTCAGGCTCTTTTTCATAATTTTCTACTTTTGAAATCATGTGGGTCTCACAATCATTAATAAATTTGTATATTAAATATAGTGTGGGTTCTCTTAAAAATATGTTATTAAATACGTGGTGTATATTGAAATCAATAGCAAGTAGAAGTGACAGTTTCCTTCATTTCCATTTCCCCAAAATATTTCACTAGAATTCACAATCACTTATAATGTTCATTGTTATTTGCTACAGTGTCTATTAGATGACTACTTTTCTAATATAAATAGAAAAAATATATATACTATTTTAGATATGTCTGGATATTTTGGGTTCAAAAACATCTGGATATTTGAGTCAAATTCAATTTTAACAGTCCGTTGAGACTTGTACAGACTCTCTGGGTGTGACACAATAAAGAGGTGCTGACTAATATTTTTCTGATGTAGATGACCTTTAGTTTTACAACTTTAGCTTTTACAAAAGACAGAGGAAAGAAAAAAAGAAAGAAAATCATGGACTAATGAATAGTGTTTGCATATTCATTAGAAGGAAATGATATCAACATTGTGAGTAGTGCATAATCAGAGGGATATCCCTATCTGAGTAGTGGCAGACACCTGGTGAGACTAAATTATACATACATACATACATACATACATACATACATACATATATATAAAACTTAGTATTTTGATTTTTAGCATTGTGCAGACACAATCACATGATACAATTTGTCATAGTTATTTTTTTCCCATTCCTCAGAAAATGTCACTTGGAAAAACAGACTGCAAGAACAACGTTTAGAAGTCTAGACCCAATCATAGTGTGAAACTGGGGTTGCGGGAAAGGTTGATCACTTTAAGACAGAAGCAAGATGATGTCACTCCTCTGCTTAAACCCTCCAGTGCCTCTCTGTCTCAGCTCAAGAAGAAAAACTGGATTGAAACTGCCTGCAAAGTTCTGCACTGTCTGCCATGCTGCACATCCTCTGCTTTCACCTCCCGCCATTGTTCTTCACCTGCTCTGCCCCAGGCTTTCTATTCTTCCCAGACACACTCCTTCCTAATGACCATTGCACTTGGCTTTCCAGCATTCAGAAGCGCTTCTCTCACAGATTTCTTCACGCCTCTCTCTCTCACCCCTCTTGGGTTTCTCATAGAGGCCTTTCACATCTACTCCATTTACTCTACAAACCCAACTCATTTACTTTCACCTCACCGTTCTCTTTGCTTCTTTGGTACTTAATTTTTCTCCTCTGCTCTTGCATTTCACTATCTTACGTACTGTATATCTATCTTAACTATATTTTGGGTTTTTTTTCAGTTCCCCTTACTATATCAGTTTTATGAGGGCAGGGATATTATTTATTTTGTTCACCACTGAATCCTTAACATCTAGAACAGCGCCTGAGACAGAGTGAACCAAGAAATTTGTACAGAATAAATAATTGGTGGTAAAAATTTAAGATAATATATACCATTCCTTTATTTTTAAATTTTTTAAATTTTTAATTTTTTAATTTTAACTTCTCAATATACATTGTAGCTGATTTGTGTGTCCCATTACCCATTCCTCTTTCACTCCCCCTCCCCCCACACTATATCATATCTGTTCACTTGTCTTAACAAGTTCAAGGAATGGTTGTGACTGTTGTGTCTTCTTCCCCACTCAACCCTTTATTTATTTGTATATTTATTTATTTATTTATTTATTTTTAGCTCCCACAAATAGGTGAGAACATGTGGTATTTCTCTTTCTATACCTGACTTGTTCCACTTAATATAATTTTTCTATGTCCATCCATGTTGTTGTGAATGGTAGTATTTCATTCTTTTGTGTAGCAGAGTAGTATTCCATTGTGAAGATGTACCACAGTTTTTTTTTTTTTTTTTTGGTCTTTTTTGTGACTGGTAAGGGGATCACAACCCACTGGCCTTCTCTATATAGGATCTGAACCCACGGCGGGAGCGCTGCTGCGCACCCAAGCACCGCACTCTCCCGAGTGCACCACGGGGCCGGCCTGTGATGTACCACAGTTTCCATCTCCACTCATCTGATGATGGACATTTGGGCTGGTTCCAACTCTCAGCTATTGTAAATACTGCTGTAATAAACATGGGAGTAGAGATATCCCTTTGGCATGATGATTTCCACTCCTCTGGGTATATTGCCAGCAGTGGAATAGCTCAGTCATATGGTAGATGTATCTGTAATTGTTTGAGGAAACTCCATACCATTTTCCATAAAGGCTACACCATTTTGCAGTCCCACCAACAGTGCATGAGAGTTCCTGTCTCTTTGCAACCTTTCCAGCATTTATTATTCTCAGTCTTCTGGATATTAGCCATACTTACTGGAGTGAGATGGTATTCAAAGTGGTTTTCATTTGCATTTCCTGAATACTGAGTGATGTTGAGCATTTTTTCATGTGTCTGTTGGCCATTTGTATATCTTCCTTTGAGAAATACAAATTCCTATTCAGCTCCTTTGCCAATTTTTTAATTGGGTTATTTGGGGGGTTTTTTTTGGCTATAAAGTTGTTAATATTCTGGATATTAATCCTTTGTCAGATGTATATTTTGCAAATATTTTCTCCCATTTTGTTGGTTGTCTTTTCACTCTGTTGATTGTTTCTTTTCTGTGCAGAAGCTTTTTAGTTTGATATAATCCCATTTGTTTATTTTTCCTTTGGTTGCCTGTGCTTTGGGGGTCATATTCAAAAAGTCTGTACACACTCTTAATTCCTGAAGTATTTTCCCTATGTTTTCTTCCAGGAGTTTTATTGTTTCAGGATGTGTATTTAATTATTTAATCCATTTTGAATTGATTTTGGCATATGGTGAGAAGTATGGGTCTAGTTTCATTCTCCTACATATTATGAAAATGTCCATATTATCCAAAGTGATCTACAGATTCACAATGCAATCCCCATCAAAATTCCAATGACATTTTTCTCAGAAATGGAAAAAACTATCCAGACATTTATATGGAATAATAAAAGACCACACATAGCCAAAGCAATCCTGAGAAAAATAAATAAATAAAATAAAGCTGGAGGCATAACATTACCTGATTTTATACTATACTACAAACCTATAATAACCAAAACAGCATGGTACTGCCATAAAAACAGACACACAGATCAATGGAACAGAATAGAGAACCCAGAAATCAACTCATACACCTACAGCCATCTTACCTTTGACAAAGGCACCCAGTGTACACACTGGGGAAGAGACTGCCTCTTCAGCAAATGTTGCTGGGAATTTTTTTTTTTTTTAATTTTTGATCATGACAGCAAACTCAACAATGAAACTCAGTGTGAAGTATGTCTTTCAATCAAGTTAAAATATAAAATACAATGTACATGAGAGCAATATAAGTTAAGTTAACTGTCTAGTGTTTTATATACTCATAACAGGGTGATAATGTCTTGGTACTTTAATGTGTATTTTTATTCTTTTAATTTCAGAACCTGAGGGATATTCAAATGTGGAGGATGCATATTCTAAGCCTTACCTTGGTTTCTTAAACATGTCTAGTACCACAAAGTTTTTTGAAACATTACAAAACACATAGTGTGCTTATAAAATCAAAATTGTCTAAATGTATTCTTGAAATTGAAGTTTGTTTCATTCCATTATAGTTGTAATTGACTGGCAGTTCTCAAACTCCGATTTTGGCATAGGTTTGAAATCTCTATTGATTCCCAGTGAGAGAAGAGTGATGCCATATATGACATTGTGGACAAAGCATCCAGAAGATGTCGTGACATGCAAGAGTAAGCTGTGGGCCCCTGGTTCATCACAGCATTTGTAGCAAAATTGCAAATTTACTGAAGTAGAGGATTATGGAAGAAATCCTCCCATTCGCAACAGCATGGATGAGCTTGGAGAAACTTATGTTTAAAATAAGCAAAGCACAGAGGGATAAATACCCCACGTTTTACTCATAACTGGGAACTTGTTGATTAAAATGATCGGAGACGAGAAGGAAGACACAGCAGACGAGATGCAGGTGAAGAGCGGGGGGCCACTGCTCTCTCAGGCAAGTCGACTGTTACAGCTTTTATTACGTTTAGCAAGCTTGTGCATGTGAGATAAGCATTAATGCATAAATTCTGTTATACTTTTCTCAAGAGCAGAAGGCCATTACCTCCCTTCTCAAGCACTTGGTTATCTATAATGCGCCTCCTGGGAACATCCTAAGAAAGTGTTCTCACAACTTTAAGCATTCTCAAGGATTGTTTGCAATCCTTGACATTTCTTGGTTAACTCGTTTGCAAGTTCACCAAGTGAACACGTCCTTGGGTGCTGACCACAGAAGTCCATTAACCATTTCCTTCAGAACTAAGAGAGAAAGAAGGAAGGAAAGAAAGACCACAGTGGTGTGTTGGACTTGCAGAGGGAGAGAACATACCTAGGAATACAAAGTGGAGTGGGGGAAAGGGGGATGGGGAGGGAGGTAGGGGATAATTGGGTGGGGGACATGGGGTATAACCACAGTTTGTGGTAATGGGCATGCTACCAGTATGGATCTGGCCATCACATCTTGGGCATGAATGGTAACAATCGGCTTTGTACCCCATGAATAT